CACCATTTAACTTAAACATTTTAACTCACAAAGCAATGATATATTTTCCTCAGATATATGTGTATGTATATAAATGCATTTAAAGATACACATAAAGAAGGTTACAGTGATTTCCTCTAAGAAAGGGACTGGAACTGGGGATGTTATCAAAGTGAATTTTACCCTTATTTCGGATGTTTTAATTTTCTACAAGAATTCCTACGTAATGTGTAATTAAACATCATCTTTAAAAACTAGCACTCTGCCTGTCAGAATTTCTCCTCTAATACTCTTACACAGTTGACCTGATTCAGTGAAAAAGGGAAGTGGTAAATGTTTTGACCATCCTTGCCAACAAGACATTCAGAATTTACCATCAGCACCACTCTACTCATTGCCCAGCTCATTTCCATGGTTCTAGATCAAAACACTCACTGGTGGAAGGAGTGAGGATCGTCCACATCATGGCCGTCTGGGGCCAAAGGGTTGGAGAACGGTTCGTCTAAGAAAAAGAATTGACATCAATTTGATCAATCTCTTCTGTGTCAGGTCCCATGCCAAAGTTGGGGATATAGTAGTGAACAATACTGATGTGTTTTCCCGTCAGACTGCTCAATCTTGTGAGGGAGAAAGGCAAGAACAGCGACAGTAACAGCACAATGTAATAAGTGAAATGGGAAAATACAAGGAGCTGTGGGAGCCCAGGGGAGTGACCCCTAAACCGGCGCTAGAGAATCAGCAGACTTCCTGAAGATGACATCTAAGATATTACGTGAAAGATAAAGTGGCGCAACCCAAGAGTAAGTGAATATGGGGCGGTGTGTGTGTGAGGGGTAAATTCGCAGATAAATTCCACTAGTACTCACTTGGGGCAAACACAAGGATTAGGTAGAGAGAGAGCTGCGGAGCCTCACTGAGGGCCTAACGGCTTCGCCAGGCTCCAAGCGTCACTCTCGGCCCCTCTCCACCCTCACACGCACACCCGGCTTCAGTTCTGAGGACGAAATAACGCGCAAGTGTCCCGAGTTCCGCGGGGAAGAAAGGGCAGATGACCCAGACTTACTATCTCGCTCCGGCATTTCGTCCGCGGTGTTTCAACCTCAGCAAGGCCTGCACCTCCAACGACAACACACCAGCGACTGCCTTCTCCCCCCACAATGCACCTCCGGAACCAACCCACTGTGCCTTGCGTTCCGCAGCCTATTCGCCCCCGCTGCCCAATTGAAGGAGACCCGACCCGTGCCTTACAATGCTCTTAAGGAATTGGCTAAACTTGACTCCGCCTCCTATCTCAGCCAACCTATCTCAGGGCCTGGAAGGTCCGCGATTGGTTCATCTGGAGAACTCGGCCGGAAGGCCTGGGCAGGGGTTCGAGTACTAGCAGAGATGGCGGCGGCTGCGGCCAGTCGGGGGATCCGTGCCAAACTGGGCCTACGAGAGATTCGTATCCACCTTTGTCAGCGCTCGCCCGGCAGCCAGGGCGTCAGGTGAGGCACAACGTAGTGAGGCGGGCGGGCTTCGGGGCGATGGGGTCACGACTTCGACCTCCCGGCTGTTAAGGGAGGCCCGCGCCTACCCAATATGCGGGGCGCTCTCTCTGGCCCCGCAGGGACTTTATCGAGAAACGTTACGTGGAGCTGAAGAAGGCGAACCCCGACCTACCCATCCTAATCCGCGAGTGCTCCGATGTGCACGCCAAGCTCTGGGCCCGCTACGGTGAGTGTGAGACGCTGGGGTGGAGAAAACAAGGGTTCAGGAAGAGAAAGGGCCACCCAAGGTCAAGCAAAAACTTGTAGAGACTGGAACTCAAGACTTCAGCCTTGCTTTTGACCTTATTGCCGATAAGAAAGTTTACATTCGTAGGGTTATAGGGTTCTTTGTGTCCCAGGTTAACAGCAGTGTAGAGGCGGGCGCTGTCATTTTGTAATTGACCGGGAACTGTCATTTTGTAATTCAGAACAGGTTTCAGATAGGGGAGAACAAATGCTGGTCGGTTCTTGTCAATGTTAGGTCCTTTCAAGTTATGTGTGGGCAGTCCCGGTCCAGGTAGTGTTAGAATCTCACTGAGGGAAACCTAAAATGATGATTGTGTTGAGCACTTAATGCTAGACTCTGTGCTTTCCTATCTAAATCTTATTTAATCTTCATTTACTATATGAAGGGATGTTGTAGAGATAAGAAAGCTGAATCAGAAATTTCATGGAACATACCTAAGGTTATGTAGCTAGCTATAACAGGGTTAAGCCTTTATATTTGTTTCCACTTCCTAGAATGCACTTCTGCCAGACGTTATGGCTGGCTTATTATTCAGCTCTGAGCTTTCATATCACCACCTCAAAAAGGCATTCCCTGACCAGTTATGTAATATTGCCCCCAAACCTTTTTTTAAAATCATATTACCTATTTCAGTTTATCACAATATGAAAATTACTATCACGTTGCCTGACACATAGTAGGCATGCAGTACATTTATACATGCTGACTAGTGGTATTTTAATCAATTTTTTAAATAAATTTATTTAAATTAGTTTCAAGTATACAGTACATTGGTTAGACATCTATATTGTTCATAAAACGATCCCTCCAATTGCTCCCTTCCTCCCCAGGCCCTCCACTTAGTCATCATATTAATGCTAACTGCATTCCCTCTGCCGTGCTCTGCATCCCTGTGCCCAACTATCAACTACTAATTTGTACTTCTTTAACCCTTCACCCCTTAATTAGTTTTTAACTACACCTTGCCCTAGGAGGTCTGGAGGAAGCAGAGTAGGGGAAGGTTATACCTAAGGCAGATTGGTTCTTCCAGTGGACACCTGTAGTAATGCCGTGCACTAAAAACTGGGGGAGGAAAAAGGGTCTCCTTCCAAAAGCCAGTAGACCGGAGGAGATGGACTCAAGTTAACTGTAGTGTTATAGTAGATGGACTGGGAGTCAGAATGGGCACCCTGTCGAGGGTATGTCCATGCAATGCACTGCCTACAATGGTTAATAAATGCCTACTGTGCCCCTTAAAACTTCCCTGAAACACCTTCCTTACCATGTGGCCACCCAGAATCAGCCAAAATTCTAGTTGGACCTGAGCTTCCTAGATGTGTTTGAGACCCACTGGATAAATTCTAGGCATTCCAAATCCACCTTGGTCATCTCTCTACTATCTTCTATCATAACAATACTGTAAGTTCATGACCAAGACCTGTTGTTATTCTTTGGTAGCTCCATAGTAGAGTGGATACTTAGTCACCTCCCTCTCTCCCCAGCATTTGGCCAAGAGAAGAATGTCTCTTTGAACAACTTCAGTGCTGATCAGGTAAACAGAGCCCTGGAGAATGTGCTAAGTGGCAAAGCCTGAAGCCCCCACTGAGGATTGAGAGCAACACCCCACAGCCTGGGCTCTGCTGGACTGAGTACAATGTAGAAAAGTGTATTTGTCTGTTCCTTATAAAGTTTATGCTGTAAGATGTTCTTTTCCTTATTCTACCCTCTACCCCTGAATGTGCAAGAACTTGGGCAAAGCAGTTTAATGTAAGAATAAAACTTTATTCTGTCCTATCAAAAGCCACCTGCTACTGAAGCAAAAAAAAAAAGAGATTCCAAGGCCCCAGAATAAGTGGGCCATAATGATTTCCCTCTGGTCCTTCTGCCTGGATAGTGCTGGGTTAAAGAGGAGGAGCTAAGATCCAAAGGTCTTGGTTTAGGTTTAGGTGTGGGAGCAGAGATCATGATGCCTCCTTATGGTCCTAACCCCCACTCCCCAAAGGGGCCCCGCAGGCAAGGAACTTGGCAGGGGGAGGAGTAGAGAAGTGACATTGAGAAGCCAGGTCACCCATGAAGAGCTGTCCGCTGGAGAGCATGCACTCGTTCCTGGAGCTGTGCCTCCTCCTCATGCCTTTCCAAGGCCTGTAGCCCTGACTGCTGCAGGAAGGCCTGGGCAGCCTGAGGGCAAGGAAGAAAAGGACTCAACACCTGGGTCCCTGTGCCCTAACACAATTCCCGCAGCCTTATGGGTTAGCCCTTCTTCTTGGAAGAGAGTACACTCCCAACAGGAAGATGGAGGTTCACACCTGGAGCCCACAAAGGCCAGCCAGGCCCAGAGAAATTACTACAATTAGGGCTGGAAGGAAAGAGGCTATGGTGAGACCAGAGGCCTCAGAACGGGGGGGATTAGGACCAGGGCCAGAAACCCACCTCTGGCCTATAGAGGAACAGCAGTTGCAGCAGTTCCAGACTTTGGCCTATTACGTCAGTGTCAGAGAAGGCCAGCATGTCCAGCAAGGACGGGAGCAAGGGACCTGGCCACAGATGCTCACAATAAGCAGGACCCTTCTCTGCAACATTGCACAGAACTGTGAGCACCTGCAGACAGAAATGTATATATACACAGTCCCCACAAAGGATGAAAGCAAATGTGCCAAGTAATTTTATATGCATGTTCTGTAATCCCCACAACTGCCTTCAAGTAGGATTACTATTCCCAATTATAAATAAGGAAACTGAAGCTTAAGGTGGTTAATTGGTTTGCCCAAGGTTAATAACTCGTAAACAACAGTTTAGAGACTCAAACCTAGGGTGGTCTGGCTCAAGCCATCCATACTACCTGCCAGCTCTCAGCTAAAGGCACTTCTGAGCTCCCCGTTTACACTTTAGGCACTAGACCTTAGTCTCAGATGAGTCCAATACCTACCAGTACGCTCACCACATTCGATACTGGCAATAACTGCAAAAGGGGCTCAATCAGATCCAAGGAGAGCAAGGAGGTACAGAAGCTCGGACTGTTTGCTGGAAGGGAAAACGTCAGTAAAATCCCTGTAACTAAGGCCTGAAACTTCCCCCTCCCAATCCTGCCCACCTTAGCCCAGGCCACAAGTATTTCCAGTATCTAAAGATCCAGGCCTGGGCAGATTATGGTGCATACCAGTGAGGTTGTTAAGGAGCCAGAGGCCCTCAGGAAGTAGGCTGGGCTGTTTCTGGAGGAAGAACTGCAGAAGGATAAATAAGGCGGCCACAACACGCTCATCTCTGAGCTGCATTTGCCCTCCCACAGCCTCCACTGCTGTCTCTGTTAGCAAGTTGCTTAGACACCGAAACACAGGGCACACCAGCTGCAAAGATAAGTTGGGGATCAGATGTAAATTGGAAGGGGCTACCTGCACCTTGGAGGAGAAGCAGAGTAGAAAGAAAGGTCGTGACGATCTTGACCTGTCCTCTTCACTTACCAGCTCTAGTCCTGCATCCTCGGATCTCTGAACAGCCCCAGCCAAATCCAAGAGCAGCAGCCCCAGTGTGGACAGAGCCCCATGGGTGATGAGCAGGGCATTATTGACCTGGCTAGGCAATAGGAAGCAAATAGTCACTACTCAGCTGATCCCACCTTTAAGTTAGCAAACAGCCTAGGTTTGTGGGTTTCCTGGGTTCCAAGAAGAGAAGGCCATGGAAGGAAGAAAATCCTCCACAACAATTCCAGAAACCCAAGTTCAAAAACCTGAGCGTCATGAAGGGAGTCCCCGGGGATGTCTGTGGCACTTTCTCAACTGGTCTGTGTTACCTGCAGATGATGTAGTGAAGGCACCAGGCAAACTCCACAGCGACCCCAGGGTTCAGCTTTGGGCCAGGCTGCAACAGTCGCAGCATGTGCTGGGGGAGAGTGGAGCCCAAGACAGAGCTGCCAACAGAAGCACAGCTGTTGCAGGAAGGGCAAGGAAGAAAAGGAACCATGGAAGGCAAGATGCCTGTCACTCTTCCTAAATCCTAATAGCAAGTAGGAAGTGTCCAAACCCAAAGCCCTTCCCAGCCAGCCAAATGGAGTTAAATGTGCAACAGCTTTGGAACCAGACTCAATAAGGAATCCAGGGGCTACATGCCAAGTGGGTCACCCCTACCTGTACATCTGGAGACACAATGTTACTTACGGGATGATCTTTTCTGGAGCTTCCTTAGCTTGCAAGAGCTGGGACAAGGCATATCCAAGGGCTTCCAGCACAGTCAGATGGGAGGACTAGAAGGAGACAGGGTAGGGCTCTGACTCTGGAAGCCAGGCCCTAAGATTTCCTGAGACTTTCAACCCGTTAGGCTGGAGCTACCTAACCAAAGCAGCTGGAACATGTGGAAAGAAGTGACGGGAGTGTTGCCCAAGGAGGAAGAAAGAAAGTGGACACTCACCTGGATGCAGGCAGCCAAGGCTGGAACAATGCCCTGTGGCAGGAGCTGACTTCTCACAGCCTCACTCTCCACAATCAGGTTTCCCAGTGTATACAGACAGAGCTCCTGAGAGCAGGACAACAAAAACACTGGGCTTGGCCCAGGTCAGGCCAGGGTTGGGGGTTGTGGTGGGGAGGATGGAACAGCCCTGTCCTTGAGGATCTGGGCACAAGGGAGTAGGAGATGATGGGTATATATATGGCTGTGGGGATCGGGGGAAACAGGTTTTCTTATCCCTACCTGCCAGCTCAAACTGCACCTAAAAGCACAAATTTTAAACTCAAGCCAAGAACAAGGTAGGAAGGGACAGGGCTTACTATAAAGTCTGAGCTGTGACCGGAGAGGTAGGTGAGAAGGTAGGAAGTGGCTGGCAGGCAGGCTTCAGCCACCGCAGACTGCTCAGAATGAGAGAGCTCATGAAGGCACCGAGCCGCCTCAAGCTGCAGCAGGGCCTGGTTGCTGGTCAGGAGCCCGACCAGGGTCCGCATGCTTCCCTCCAGCCTGCGTGAGTGAGCACCAAAGCCCTACTCAGCCTGTGGCTCATCCCCCCTCCATACTCCTATCCATCCCTCAAAGCCCCAGCCACCCACTCACACCACCCACACTGACCTGATGAAGGTCTGTTGCGTCTCCAGGTGCTGCAAGCCTCGACGAAGGCTGACCAAAGCCCTCTCTCTCTCTTTTTCCTCTGTACCCCGCTGGGCTAACCGCAGGAACTGCTGGATCTGAAGCCCAGGACAGGGAGAGGAGAGATGGCAACACACATTTGTCAGAAAGCAAGTTGTGAATCCTGCTCTGTTCGCTTCACCTGCAAGCACTCCAATATTGTACCATCCCTACAACTTGTCATTCACACTAATATGGCTAATAAGTGCCAACACTGCAGTAGAGTGGACAGAAGAGGGAATCAGGACTGGGTTTAATGCTAGCCCTGGGACTTACTCTACAAGGGACCTAAACCTCAGTTTCTCACCTGGAAAATGGGAATAACATCTACCCACACCTTCTGACAGGGTTATTTCAAGGATAACATTTAAACCTCTCAGCCTGGCATAACCTACCCTCTTGTCATTCTCCTCATGCAACAACACCTAGCAAAACATGACTTTTTAATGCTGCCAAGATTTTGCACAATCTATTTCTTATGCCTGGCATACCCGCCCCAGGTCCTCCACTCCCTTCAGATTTCTGTCCTTGTCACTGCCCCTGGGAAATTAGCTCTTTCTGGATTCCTTTGGCAGACGTAGGGGTTTCTATTGTCCTCATGTTTCCTTCATGACAGGTGGTAGCACATCTGTCTCTTTTACTAGGTTGTGAACACTTCAGAGAAAGGGACTCTTCATCTTTGTGTACCTCAGTACCCAACATAGTTTATTGTCATAAATAAATGGTATAACTCTGGCACCTGTGCTTTATAAACTAGATATGTAAACCTAGACAATAATAAACACAGAGAATGTCCAATGCTTGCTTAATGAATAAATAAAAGTAATTCTTTAATTCACTTATTCAATAATCTACTCTATGGCAGGTACTGATAGGCATCTGAATTTTCAGTGATGACAAAGGGTCTAAGTTCCTGCTAATGTAAAGTCTAGTTGGAGAAATTATAATAAACAAGCAAACAATCATACAATCAAACATGTTTAATAGTCTGCAAACAGTCTGGCAGAATACCAAAAGGGACCCAACTTGAGATGCAGCAAATGAAAAAGCCTTGAGACAAGGCTTTTTTGAACTGTCACCGAGAACTGGAAAGGGGACAGTTTGATATGAGTAAGCTAATAAGGTTGGAGGTAGGTAGAGGTTAGACCACACTGTTCTTTATAGGTTACAGGAAGGAGTTTGGTCTCTTATGTGTTTTTAAAAGACGCGTCTGACTGATGTATGGAGACTGAACTAGAGAGCGCAAGCAGAGATGCAGATGACTGGTTAGAGGATGGTGGGAGCTGCGATAGCGAGGCGCATAAAGAGTCCAGAGGTAGAAAATAGCTAGGACTTGATGAAGTATTGATGTGGCGATGAGGGTCGGAGTTGTGGAGAATGATACCCCATTTTCTGGCCTGACCCACTGGATGGATGGAGGTTTTGAAGGGACCGCATTCAGGTTTTTGGGACGGACCTCGGGTACTCTGGCGTCAGCCGGTATGGACCTCACCGCGCACCCTGCCCCCTTACCTCGGCTTCCCCAAGGATCAAGTCCACCTCGGCTTCCTCTGGGGCATTGTCTCTCACCAGTCTCTTGCTGACCAGCTGCTGCTCCCTCCGGGCCTTCCTCAGTGCTGTGGGCAAAGAAACTGGCTGAGCGTGGAAGAGACATCCAGGACCCAGAACTTCGTCTCCCACCCAAGGGTCTCTTCACTCTATCTCTCACCGCCAAACCCTATCCTTCCATGTTCCCTCGCCGGCCCGTACCAGCCTCCCGCTCCCGCCGACGGCACCGTAGCTCCTCCACTCCGCAGCCCACCGGCCTGAGACGGCCCTGCAGTCGGTTCCACATGGTGGAGCTGCAGGAAACTCGCACTAAGCGAAAAGCTGAGAAGGTAGCGCCAAGTTCTGGAAGATGGGATGACCCGGCAACCGCGGCTCAGGGCGGAAGCGGAAGTGCAAGCAAAGGCGGGGCGATGCGAGGGGGCGACGCCAGGTCCTGGGGCGGGGACGGCGAAGGTAGAGGGCCGGGCAAAGAAAGCGAAAGGACAGAAGGAGAGTGTAACCGGAGCTGGCGAAGGCTAGAGGTTGGTTCAGACCTAGGCAGAAAGCCAAACGAAGGCCCAGCGGCTTTGGTTTCACTACTTCTCCATTCTAGGAAAGAAAATAAGGTAATATTTACCGTACGTACTCAGGAAAGAAAGTAACTCAATCCCGACTCCGGCCGCCCCAGGTCAGAAGCGTCACCTTCCACTCAGCAAACACAACCTACCCACTCCTAACACACATTAGAGGAACATTCAAAACTACCCCGAGCTCTAGGAAGATATGGGATGCCATTTCACCAATAACACGACTCCCACTGATTAGGGCTAGCTAAACGCGGGCCACGCATTGCCATATTGAATGTTCGCCATAACAATTATCCCCATTTTACCGGTAAGTAAAATGAGGCAAATATTATTTCACTGCTCTGCATAAAAGTGAGTCACATTATTTTTAGGATAAAGTAATTTTCTCATCAAATTTTGAGCACCACTAAGTACGGGGGAAACACTGGTGAATTTAAAGTATTTCTTACCCTCAAAATTTGAATTGTGGCCTACTAATGCTTACACGGTCTAATCCCTGCATACATCTCCAGTTTCACCTGGAAGGGCACTTCACCTTACTCATCTCTCTTGGATCTTCTCTTTGTTCCCTAAATGAGCCCTGCTCTTTAACTCCTATGGGCTTTTGCACAGGCTGTTCCTCTGACTAGAGCATTGTCTCTGCCCACCCCCCATATCAACCAGAGCCCTTCCCTTAATTAACACCATCTTTAAGATCTCAACTCCAATGTCCACTACTCAGAACTACTGGACCAGTTGCCCTGTTATGAGAGTGTATAGCACCATATACTTCTTTACAACCCTTTTCACAGCTGTCATTAAGTTATAGTGTAATTGATGTCTCCTCCCAAACTCCCTTCACAGCTCTAAGCGAGTCCTGGTAGCATTTAAAAAGTTTCATTGGAGTTCTCTAATTTTTAGAAAGCTATTACTTAGGCTAATGCACAAATAAGAAAAAATCCAGGAAGGAGCATTGTTCATCAAACCAACTTCCTTCCTTGAAATTAATGTCACTTCTCAAAATAAACCGATGAAGCATTGGATCTCTTCCACAAGACATCTGCTTAAATAGCTGCAGACCATCATCCTGTCCTCCACATCTTCTCTCCAGGTCTAGCATCCATCCAGCCCCTGGCCAGCCATTTATTGAGAACCTGCTGTGCACCATGCTCTGGCTGGGGGTAGGGCCTGGGTCTTGTCCCTTTCCTCATAGACAGACTGACTTCTATATACACATCTTTCTCCTGGGGGGGAAGGTAAGACAAGTCCCTAGACAAAAGCTATGTTCTGCCCAGAGTGTCTACTCACGACCAAACTGCCTTTTTGCATTTATCTGCCTGACAATAGTGTTAACCCTATAAGAAAGAGCCCTATATCCTCTCTACTACAGGGTTAGCTGTTCCTTTCTCCAGAGTTACCACAAATCCTTGGCTTTTCCTCTGTAAGAGTCCTCTTCACTATGAATAGTAGTTCCGGGTTTGTTTCACTTCCCTCACCTACTGTAGTATTTGAGGGACTGAGTGGGTCATGGGTCACGTTGGCATCCCAAAGCTTTGTACCAGCCCTAGCATTTGGTAGACAAATGATAGCTATTCTTGAATTAAGGTGTGAGTTGGGGATCTCTGCAGAAACTTATTGCCCTTCTTATCCTGGACTCCTTATCTAGAGTGTCTCTGCTAAGGTGATGGGGATTTGCCGAGGAGCCAGGCTTCAGTGGCTTAAGTCTTCCGAATACAAAGTCTCTGACAAAGAAGATAATAGTCAGGGCTGCTGTCAACAAATGTGGCTCTGTGCCAAAGACTTAGGATACAGTCATAGACAGGTACTATTATTGTATCCATTTTAAAAGCAGAAGCTCAAGCTCTTTCCATCTCCACCTGCTGCACTGAAAAGAGCTGATATCATGTCTACACATCTGCAATGGATGGTTGTACGGAACTGCTACAACTTCCTGATAAAGAGGAACAAGCAGACATAAACCACCAAACCCAATGACCTAAAAGCCCACAACTTCCTCCGCTACAACCAGCTGATTCACCACAAGATGGTGGGCATCATGAAGCAGAGATCTGGCCAGTGAAAGCTGGCAACCTCCTAAGTGCAGACCAGCAACAAGAACAGCCGGATCACCCTCAGCAGCATCAGGCACATGATTGCAAAAACAAGTTCCACCTGGATCTGAGCATGGCTGCCATCCAACGCAGCCAGAAGCTGATGACGGTGAAGAGGGAGCCGGCCCACCCCACCACGAGCTCTTGAACCCCACCCTCCCAGTAATAAAGGTATCAGCTGACCTTCCTATAAATAAATAAATAAACAAATGAATGAATGAATGAATGAATGAATGAATAAATAAATAAATAAATAAATACAGAAGCTCAAAATCTGAGGCCCAGAAACTTGCCCAAGTCTGACAACCTCAGCAGTAGATCTGGGATTCCTTGCCTGGCTGTCTACCTTCAGGGTCAGTATGTTTAACACTGAGCTTTATTAACATCTTGGTCCTTGAGGATGACCCAGTGACATGGCCTGATCACGGCACACCCAACAGAACACACAGTGGGAAATGTGGTCCGATGAGGCCTCCTTGTTTGGACTGGGGACAGATGTGAAGCTACCTCTGGAAAATAGAGGAAGTGAGAATTCAGAGGTTTTTTTTCATGTAGCTCTTTCTCCAGAAATCCAAAGGTACAGACCTGTGAAGGCAATTGTAAAAGTTAAAATTCACATTCCTGAAAGCTTTTTTTTAAAAAAAGGGTTTATTGAGCCATATGCTAATCAGAAGAAGACCAGGTCCTGGGGCATGAAACCTAAACCATGAGCAGCATGGCTAGGTGAAGAAGGCAACATCCTGGAGTGGATGGGCTCTTTTATTCAACACGTTTTGGGGAAGAAATTTGTAAGTTGTTTGAAAGAACATACATTGGTTACTGATGGGGGGCAGGAAAATGAAGTGGAGGCAATTCTATAATAAGCGCAGTCTATAAGAAAGAAATATTTACTATTTTTGATTGGATAGACAGCAGTCCTGAATGTTCATGGTATGCAGGATGCAGCAATCTAGCAGAAGCTAATAGACACCTAGAGATTGATTCAAGGCTCCAACATACATTCAGGAATGTGAGCAGTCTTTCGTTGGCCCATAGCTCCTAACTGCTTAACTATTCCCATCTTTTTCTGTTACTCTCCAGCCCCTGCAATTTTATTTGGAACATCTCAGAATTTTTTTCTTGTCCAAGCATAAACCCTACCCCACCCTCTAGGACACTTGCTTTTTTTCTTGTTACTAATCCTCATTCAATCTAAGTCCAGCCCTTTCTTCCTAGAACACAGGAAATTGTGTTGGGGGAGGGCAGGGAAGAACGAGATGCAAGCTGGAAAACTGTTAAAAAGATCTAGTTTCTCAGTTTCAGCATGGAGAAATGAAAACTAAGAGAGTTAGTGACTTGGCCAGTGTGTTTCTGCTAAACACCTTTACTTATCCTAATACTTTCTTAATAAAGTTAAAGAAAGAACAAGTCAGCAGAAAAAAAAAAAAAATGGGAAGGGGAATTGCTCTTCAGACCAACTTCCTTCTCTTGAACTTAATTCCAGCCATTGGAGTCAATAGATGAAGTTCGTTAGCAATCTGTTTCACAAAATATCCAGTTAAATATCTGAGGGTATTCAGGAGATTGGACTGGGGTGACAGGAAGTTAATAGTAACCACCAAGACTAGAGAAAATTCAAGAAAATTACCCAGGTTGATTCACTAGGATATAGGTGGGATAGTCCTGGCAAGAGAGAGTCCTGGCAGGAGACGCTGGGGATCTTCCTTTCTCCATAGCCACCAGACAAGCCTGGGGCACCTGAGTCATCAGACGCCAGCTGGGGCAGAGCACACTAGAGGTCTTACAGGATCCTCTCCACTCTGCCCCTCCTCCCAGCAACATCCTTCATTGCAAAATTTCCCAGAAGGGTAGTGAATAGAGTGGTTGGGTGGAAGAGAAGTGGGGAGTGACCAGGGTTCACAGAGGAGAAAACAAAGTGACATTCTCGGGGTTACATAAAGTTTCGGAGGCTGCCAAAGGGTGTGTGGAGCCTAGAAGCCAGCGAGTGCCGCTGTAAAGGAAAGAAGCCAGCAAAGCCGAAGCCCTTCCCAGAGACTTGCAGGGACACAGAGGCTCTGAGGACTTGACGACCATGGTGAGTATACGGTCTTGGGGCGGAACGGGGAACCTTAGGGACTGGCTGGGGCCGCCCTGACCTCCGTCCGCTCTCTACCCAGGTGCGCGCGCCCTGCCTGCTGCTGCTGCTGCTATGGCCACTGATGCACGTTTCTGCGACCGTACCAGAGCCCTGCGAAGTGGACGACGACAATTTCCGCTGCGTCTGCAACTTCACAAATCCGCAGCCCAACTGGTCCAGCGCCTTGAATTGTATTAGTGCTGTCGAGGTGGAGATCCGTGGTGGTGGCCGCAGCCTGCACCAATTTATAAAGATCGCAGACACCGACCTGAAGCTGTACGCTAACTTGATCCGGACTCTGCCCTTGCAGCGGCTCACGGTGGGCGCTGCACGGGTTCCTGCTCTGCTTTTGTTCGCCGTCCTGCGTGGGCTCGGGTACTCCCGCCTCAACGAACTGATGCTCGAGGACCTGGAAGTAACCGGCACGCCGCCGCCGCCGCCTCTGGAAGCCACTGGGCCTGCGCTTTCCACCCTCAGTATCCGTAACGTGTCATGGGCAACAGGGGGTGCCTGGCTCGCCCAACTGCAGCAATGGATCCTGCCGGACATCAAAGTACTAAACATTGCGCAGGCGGACTCGCTCGCGTTTTCCTGCGCAGAGCTTCGCACCTTCCCGGCCCTCGTCACCCTAAATCTGTCAGATAATCCGGGACTGGGCGAGCACGGACTGACTGTGGCTCTTTGTCCGCACAAGTTCCCGGCTCTCCGAGAGCTAGAGGTACGCAACGCGGGGATGAAGACGCCCAACGGCGTATGCGAGGCGCTGGCGGCCGCGGGTGTGCAACCCCACCACCTGGACCTCAGCCACAACTCGCTGCGCGCCACCGCTCCGGGCGCTCCTGGGTGCGTCTGGCCCAGCACACTGAACTCTCTCATCTTGTCGTTCGCTGGCCTGGAACAGGTCCCTAAAGGACTGCCCTCCAAACTCAGCGTGCTTGATCTCAGCTTCAACAGGCTGAACAGGGAGCCGCGGGTAGACGAGCTGCCCACGGTGGGTAGCCTGACACTGGACGGGAATCCCTTTCTGGACCCTAGACCCCCCACGCACCAAGAAGACCCGAATGACTCCGGTATGGTCTCAGCCTGTGCCAGTTCGACGCTGGCTGTGGGGATGTCAGGAGCTCTGGCGCTGCTTCAAGGGGCCGGCGCCTTCGCCTAACGCCCAGGGTTGAAGAATGGATTGGCTAAAATTGCCCTGGCTCTGGGGAGCCTCGTGAGGACGTCTCAATCAGCCAATCCTCTCTGTCCATCTTCATTAAAATCTTATAAAATGGTCCATGTCATTTACTCAACAGATGTTTACTGAGTGTCTGCTATGTGCTGGGCACAGTGCCGATGGGGAAATACTTAGACTTTCTTCACTCCAACTCCCCAGAAACCATATCTGCCTAAGTAAAGAACTTCATGGGCAGAAGGGACAGGGAAACCTTACCTCTCTAGGGCTGCATAGGAGAAAGAAAGAGTTTCTGTGCAATCACGGCTTTCTGAGCAGATTACTAGTATCCGTGTTAAAGAGTATTTGGTAAATATGCCTAGGAAGATACAGAATGTTCCTCTCCTAGTGCACTTTCACGAGCCTGCTGGTCCCCTTCAAAGGAACTAAAACCCGGAGCCATTTGCTCATTCCTCTCGCTAACTCTCTCACCGTCACCGCCCCCCCCTCAGCAAACCTCCTGAGACAAGGGATAGCTATGCCACCTGTAGTACATAAACTTTGCGTTTCATAATTTCAGGATTCATCTTCTGTTGTGTAAAGCCCCTCTGCACACATTGGCACGCTGGCTTCCACTGTCATTCTATGGAGAATTTGGGCATGGGGAAGTGATGCAAGATTCTGTCATTAAACAATCTGTCTCTGAACCAGAGATCTTGTAATTATGTTTGTATATGTGTGTACTGTATAAGAGTTTCAGGCTGGCTTTTCGATTTGCAAATAGGATAACACCTTAGAACTTCCCAGCTTCTTAGACCCATCACAAGGCAATTAACAGGATGTGCTACATTATCTCAGAGATACAGGACATCAGCCAAGAGAAGGTGTTCCTTCTAAGAGTCCCTTCTTCATTACATCCTGGAGTCAGCCACATCCATCAGAGAGCTAGATACCTGCCTTACAGGGGACCTGCGAGAGTGGTGGGAGGAAGCATCTAAGCAGAGCCCTCTAGCCTGCCTCCCTCCAGTGTCCAGAACCACACAGATAGGAATGGAGAAAGCAAATTAATATAGGTCACCGGACCACAGACTCAAAAAATCATGGGGACAGCTGAATAAACTGTCAACCCCAGTCGGGAAACCCTACTGGAATACCCAAAAGGGACTTCATTCAGTCTGTTAGGACATTTTTAGTATCAGAGAATTAACTATTTTAAGCAGCTTCTTACATTTGAGTAACTCTGAGCACTCTTCACCAAACAGTTATAGAGCCTCTGCTCCACCTCAGGCCCTGTGTGCTAGGAGCCAAACTAGTATACAAAGATAAATCAGAAACATCCATGCCCTCAGGGAATTCTCAATACAGTAAGAGAGACACAAACATAAAATAGAGTTATAATTCAGTGGTAGGAGGGAGCAACTCTATGAGGGATGGGTGGACTGCTAACACAGGGGTCTGCAACCCTGGGGCCGAGGACTGGTACCAGTATGTGGCCTGTTAGGAATCGGGCCACACAGTGTGGCAGGCCAACGAGCGAGCGAAGCTTCTGTGTTTGCAGCCACTCTCTAGTGCTAGCATCGCCGTCTCAGCTCCACCTCAGCTCATCAGGCATTAGATTCTCATAGGGGCACCAGTCCCTGGTGCCAAAAAGGTTGGGGACCTCTACTCTAGAAGGCTGTACAGAAGACATTTAATCTGGGTCTTGAGAGGTGACTGTCACTTCCTCAGAAAGGACATCCCAAACAAAAATAGGCAGCATGTTAAAAGTCTCAGAAACCAGAAAGTAAATGGCCAGATCTGGGAATTATAACCGATTAGGTGGAGCTAGAGATCACGGTGATAGAAGCTGGAGATATTCATTCATTCAAGTGCCTATAATATGTCAGGCACTATGTTAAACCCTATGAAAATAGCAGGAATAAAGTTGTTAGGAGTTCAGATTCTGGTTGACTGGTGGGGGGTGAGAGGAAGACAATAAACACGTAATATATCAGACTGTGATAAGTGCTGAGCAGTGAAAGGAAACAAGTGTCGAGGATTGATATGTTAAATAGGATGTTAGGGAAGGCCTCTCTGATAGTGGATTTTTGAACAGACATCCAAGTGATTCAGAAAGAGCGTTGGAGGATATCCAGAGAATAGCATTTCGGGCAGAGACAACAGCAACTACATAGATCCTGAGGTCTTTGGGATGTTAAAGGAAACGATAAGCTAGTGTGGCTGAAGGAGAGTAAGCAGAGGAGGTGGGGAGAATGGTAAGAGATGAGGTTGGAGAGTAGCAGGGCCAGATTATGCAGACCCTTATAAAACAATGCTGCTCAAAACACGGTCCAAAGCAAGAGGCAGCCCGAAAATTGTTTATTACTGCACTACGAGGAGATAAGTAAAAAGGTCAAGAATAAGTATTTTAAAACTTTATAAAATTTCGCATTGCAGCAACATTTCTATTTTATTTTACGAAAGTATCATCTGTGGATTAGAACTTTAAAAAAGAAATTAAGTCCTGTGCCATTGTTTGAGTAGCTCTGTAAATATGGAGCACAGTAAGGACTTTAGCTCTTGCTTTTAGTAAAACTAGGAGCCATCATCTCTCTCCTCTGATCTTAGAGGGAAAGTTTTCAGTCTTTCACTATGTTTGTTGATTTTTGTTTTATTTTTGTTGAAGTTATGTTCGTTGATTTTTAAGATGAGAGAAATAGCATGGTTGTGTGCTGATGGGAATAATCCACTAGGGAAGGGAAAACTTGATGATTCAGAAGAAAGAAGGGAGTCATACTGGAGGACTGTTCTTGAGTATGGAAAGGGGACTGGTACCTAATTCACCAGTGGAGGGATTGGCCTCCATAGAAATAATCAATTTATAAGTATAGGCTGGAAGGCAGAGTACCCGGGCAAAGATGTTGGTGGGTACTTGTGGTAGCAGGAGTCTGTGGAACTTCTATGAAATTGAAGCTCTCAATACAGATTGTCGTATGGCAGGCACCTTCTCATTGTTCAAGGTTCAACTCAAATGTCACCTCATCTGAAGGAGCCCTTCTTGCCTCATCATTCTGATTATGACATCCTATTAATTTCTTCACATTAGATATCAATTGGAAATCATTTTTCCTTATATCATCAGTTTTTGTTTGTTTAGTACTGTGTTGTAAGCTGCATGAGAGCAACAATTGTATCAATTGTGTTCAATTCTGACTAATCTCCAGTCCCTAAAGTAGTGCCCAGCACATGGCAGGTGGTCCATAAATCCTTACTAAATAATTGATTGAATGAATGAGAGAAGTGGGCTGAAGCCTTTATTGCTCCCATGAGTTAGGTGAGAAAACACTGATTTACTTTGCTTAGGTCAAATAAAAAGATTTGCCTAACTGAGGTTAGAGTTGTGACATGGTTCCAGTTGCAAGGCATATGGTATTTTTTGATTTCGTTATTGCACAGCAGCCTAGGGGTAGGATTTATTCATTCAAAATCATCAGGGATGGGGAGTACGGAGGGCAGCCCGAGTGAGGCCCAAAGATTTAGCAAATTGTATTGATGTGCGCAAGGCTGGAAAATACGCCCTAGAGAAGGAAGGAAGTGACTCAAGGAATGAGAGAGAGACTAAGAGAAGCAACGGATCCACTTCCATGTGGCACAATAAGGTCAGATGTCCGGTATGGTGTGACGAATTTTATCCTGCAAGGGTAGGATTGGGTAGGTCATAGGACTTCCTCTTCTGAGCCAAAATCAATCTCCCTATAGCTTCCTCTTTTGTTCCTATTCTGCCATCTGGAACCAAACAGACATCAGTTGTTTTCCTCAGAAATCCTTATACTCCAAGTCTAGAGTTTTTGTTCTCTTCCATGAAGTCTTCTTTTCTTTAACATCCCCTCCCACCACTTCCAATGTTCAGAGCCCCCTCATTCTCCAGATCATGGCGGGCTCTTTATGAGCCACTTAGAATGAACTACAATGGGAGATATTTGCACAATGACTTGGATATTTGAGGATTTAAAAAATCTCCTAGTTTCTTTTTTAGTATGGTATTAGATATGATAGGTATGATATTGTAGGTATGTTTAAGAAAGAGTGCTTGACAAAAACATCACAAAAAAAATTATAGTCCAATATCTTTTATAAATGTGGATGCAGGAACACTCAACAAAATATTGGAAATTGACTCCAGCAATGTTTAAGAAGAATTATACACCATGACCACCTGGGATTTATCCCAGGAATACGAAGTTGGTTTATATCTATACATTTGCAATGAATATCCTGAAAATGAAAATTAAAAAAAAATTCCTTTTACAATAGCATCAAAAAGAATAAAATACTGAGGAGTAAATATATCAAAAGAGCAAACTTACACTTCTATAACTACAAAATATTGTTGAAAGTAGCTAAAGATCTAAATAAATGGAATAACATTCCATATTTGTGGAATGTTAAGATGTCAATTCTCCTCTAATTGATCTACAGATTCAATTAATTTTTATGAGTCAAACTGATTTTTTTTATAAATTCACAAGATGATTCAAAAGTTCATGTGGATTTCAACATATGTGGAATGAACAAAACAATCTTTTAAAAGAAGAACAAAGTTGGAATACTCACACTTCCTGATTTCGAAATTAGTGTGAGGCAACACTGATCAAAACAGTGTACTGGCATAAAAACAAACATAGAGATCAGTGGAAGGGAAGTGGAGTCCAGAAACAAACCCATGTTTCTATGGACAGCTGATTTTGATAAGTATGTCAAGAACATTCAATATGGAAAGACTAATCTTTTAAACAAATGGCACTGGGACACCTGGATATCCAGATAAATGAATGAAGTTGGACCCTTACCTCAGACCATATACAAAAATTAACTCAAAAAGGAACAATTAACTAAATGTAAGAGCTAAAACTATAAAGTTTTTAGAAGAAAACACAGATATTAATCTTCATGACCTCTTATCTGGCAATTAATTCTTAGATATGATACCAAAAGCAAGAGCAACAAAAGAAAAATGATAAACTGGATTTCGTTAATATTAAAAACGTGTGTATCAAAAGACATTATCAAAAAGATGAAAAGACAACCTACAAAATGGGAGAAAATATTTGAAAATTATATACCTGATAATGATCTAGCATTCAGAGTATATTTAGAACTCCTACGACTCAGCAACAAAAAGACATGAACCCAAGTTAAAAATGGGAGAAAAGACTTGGATAGCCATTTCTCCAACGAAGATGTACAAATGCCCAAGAAGCATGTGAAAGATGCTCAAAATCATTGGTCATTAAGGAAACACAAGTCAAAAACTCAGTGAGGTACCACTTCACGCATACAGTGTGACTCTAATAAAAAGAAAAAATTGTCGGCAAGGATATGGAGAAACAAGAACCATCATACATCACTCATGGGAATGCAAAATGGTACAGCCACCGTGGAAACAGTTGGGTGGTTCATCAAAAGTTAAATATAATCACCATATGACCTATCAATTCCACTCATTGGTATGAAATAAAAGACATATGTACATATAGATAAGTGAAAATAAGAGAGATGAAAACATTTGTCCACACAAAACTTGCACACAAATGTTTTAGCAGCATTATTCATAATAGCTAAGAGGTGGTAAAAACCCAAGTGTCCATCAGTGGATGATGGATAAACAAATTGCGGTATATACATACAATAAAATATTATCCAGCCAAGAATGGGCATGTATTAATTCATGCCACAACTTGGATGAACCTTGAAAACTAATGCTAAGAAGTGAGATGCTAACAGTCACCTATACTATGATTTCTTTCATATAAAATATTCAGAATAGGCAAATCCACAGAGACAGAAAGCCGGTTCCCTGGGGAAGAGAAAGCAGGGGAATGGGAAGTGATTGCTTAATGGGTGTTGTTCACTTTTGGGGGGTGATGAAAAAGTTTTGAAACTAAAGAGAAATGATGGTCACACAACATTGTGAATACACTAATATCACTGAACTATATGCTTTAAAATGGTTAATTATATGTATTGTGAATTTCAGCTCAATTTCAAAAAAGATTCAGAGGGAGGAAATTAAACTGTAAGCAGTGATGGACCATAATGACAAGTATTATAAGTGGGAAGTGTAGGGAGAAATGGAGTCCTAGTGAATGTCTAGTTCTGACTGGACAAGGATGAGGTCATCACAGAGGAAGTGACACTGGAACTAGGGTTTTGAAGGAGAAGTAGGAATTCAAGTTATTCTAAGCGTAGGATGTGAGATAAAAAGGGTTCCTTAAAGAAAATGGGTGGTTGATGTTTCCTGCAGAGGGAATAGAATGGACAGCGAGGCTCAGGGAGATTCCTGGTTGGTGAACACATTGATGTGCTGCTGGGGGGGTGTTGCACCCCAACTCCACAGGGGCAGGAGCTCCTGCGCCTAGGACCCTTCCGACCTTTCCTATGTACCTCTTCATTTGCACCCTTCATAATAAAAAGGTAATCATAAGCACTCACTTGCCTGAGTTCTCCGAATCATTCTAGTGAATTACTGAAACTGAAGGGTGGTCATGGGAACCTCCAAATCTGTAGCCAAGTCAGACACTAGTGCAAGTAACCTGGGGACCACACTTGTGGCTGGCATCTGAAATAAGAGCAGTCTTGTTGAGGACCTTGCATTGTAACATGTGGGATTTGGAGCTAATTCCAGTAGTGTCAGAATTGGATCAAAATTTAGGTCACCTAGTGGTGTCAGAGTATTAGTGTCAGGCATAGTAAGCATAATGAGTTTTCTGAGTTCTGTAAGTTGTTCTAGTGAATTATGGGACTTGCAGGAGTGGTGAGAACACCTGAAAGTGTAGATAACCGGTCAGAGGGAGGGAGGACTGGGGGCATCTGAGCTTGAGACCAGTGCCTAAAGTAAGGGCAGTCTTGTGGAGGGCTGTCCTCTTAGCTGTGAAGTTGGTCAAACTCTGTGGTTGGTGACAGAAGTCATTTCATCCTTACACAGAACATTATTCAGCTATAGAAAGGAAAGAAACACTGACACATGGATGAACCTTGAAAACAAACTAAGTGAAAGAAGTCAGTCACAGAATGGTGACATAGCGTAAGATTCTATTTGTATGAAATATTCAGAATAGCAAATCTATAGAGACAGAACGATTAGTGATTGCCTAGGGGTGGAGGGTGATTGGTTAAGGAAGTCATAGTAAAGGGAACCAAGTTTCTTTAAAAATGATGTAAATGTTCTAAAATTAACTGTGGAGACAGTTACACATATTTGCAAACACACTAAAAACCATTGACATGTATACTTTAAATGGGTGAATTGTACAGTATATGAATTATATCTCAATAAAGCTGTTATTTTTTAAAGGGGTGGTTATTTTCTATATATACTGAAATAGGTATGGATGAACTAATAAGACATCTGGGATTTGCTTCAAAAGAATCCATTGAGATGGGGAGGCGAACAGAAGGAATAAGACTGGCCATAAGTTGATAATTGCTGATGCTAGGGGCTTGGGGTTTCAATATATTATTTGCTACACAGATGTGTTGAACATTTTTCATAAGAAGAAAAACAGAAGCCCATGCAATTTTCTGACTGACTCAGAAAAGAGGGGACTCTCACTTTTGGTAAGTTATTATTTAGTGGCCCCACCCAGAGAGCCTCAGATCAGGGAGATGAATTATTGAGGGGAATCTGAGAGGCATGGAAGCCATGGAGTGTAGAGAGGCAGTAAGTGCAGGGACTGGTTTGGGCCAGGGCAGCTCAGACCCCTTTGCCCTCACTGACCCTTCCGCCCTCACTGACAACCCACAAGCCATGCTGACCGTGGTAGTGGAAGTAGAGTCCGGGAGAAGATCAGGTAAGAAGCGCACACATTCATTCTCAGAGGCAGTGCAGCCTGGGAGAGCCTCTTGGGAGAGAGAGCGGGCTAGGCCATCTTAGATTAGGAAACGGGGGCAAAGGTTGAGGGCAGGACTCAGGAGTCCTGGGAGCTCAGTTTCCCTCATGAGAGTTAATAGGAAGTCCACCTTTTTCAGGTTCTGAGGAGATCTGTCACCCTACGCTCCTTCTGGAGGGGCCCAAAAGCATCCACCTGCTTCAGCCAGGGACTCTGGATCCACAGGTGGAGATGGGATGAGGGGCAGGAGGGGCAGGGGAAGATGAGTGTGACACTGCTAACCCCAGCCCTGCCCACAGGAACAATGTTTCACCTTTGACAGAGTTCTGGGCTCTGATTCTGCTCAGGTAGGGGGTATTGATAGGGCGATGGGAGGAGGATGGGAGCCCTCAGGGCCCTGGAGCCTGCGATGCTGAGTGCTTCCCCAGCCCTTTGCTCAGGCCAGGCTGGGTCAGGGCAGCTGAGACAGGGGACTGTGCCTGTGTTTCCCTGCAGGAAGCAGAGCGGGAGCTGCTGGCACAGGTCCAGTCCACACTGGGCTCTGTGGGCCAAGGATACAGTGTGGCCCTGCTGCTTCGGGGTCGGGAAACAGAGGAACCCCGGCTGGTGCCTCAGGTGAGTCCCAGAGGAGCCACCAGGTATGAGTGTCATGAGGCTCCGGTGTTGCCTCCTCTAGGTGACTTTTGAGAACCTTCCTCTTCTTACCGTAGCTGGACTTACCGTTGCCAGGGCCAAGTTACGCAGCTATTGAAGTTCAGGGAAGGTGGGAGGCTGGAGCCGATGGGGTAAGGGTCAGGCAGGGGTGGTGTGCGAAGATCAAATATCCAGGGAGGTCTAATTTTCACAGTTCTTGGTAATACTAATAATTATAATAAACTTGAAAGTTTTGGTTTTTAGACTTCATCAAAATGCCCACAAATCAAAATAGCTGCCTCAGAACCTTGTCATGGGCCCCACCCTAGTAAACAAACAGCAGGTCCCACTAAAAATGTCTGCTCACTTGTCTAGCTTGCTGTGAACCATGAGGCCTGGCCCTGTTTCTGTCCTAGACACCATTTCCCCAACACCAAGCACAGGGCACAGCACAGACTTCGCCCTCAGGAAGCAATGAAGGACATTTCTTACTCAATCCATTTCAATCCCGACTGAAGCCCTTTTTCCACTTTAGCTGCTGCAGATGCTGTTCGAGGAAGCTCTGCCCTCCAGGGGCTCTGATTCTGTGCTCAGCACGCTTAGCCTGGTGCAGGTGAGACCTGGTGGGGAGGAGAGGCCTGGGGAGCCAAGGGCAAGATCATGCTGCAGAAAGCCTGAGGCTGGTAGGCAGCCAGAAGAGCTTGGGTCTAGCTCCGCTTTGCTTCTCACTTGTGTGGGCTGGCCTCTCTGGGGTCTTCTTTTTCCTGCCTGAAATGGCTGAATTTTGGTGCCTCGCTTGGCCCACAGGGCTCCAGTGGAAGGATCATGTGAGCCAAAGGCTGGGGAAAGGCTTTGTTTGTAACAGATGTGCTTGTGTGATCCCAGCTCAGCCCCAGCGGGAGGACTCAGGACCTGCTCTCTCCAAGGGCAGAGAACCTGTCGGTGCTAGATGTAGCTCCTCTGGGCTTGTGAGTGTTAAGGGCCCAACTGGGGGGAGGGTCCAAGGATGCTTGTCTTAAGGCAGACTAATGCCCCCAAACCAGGCACTTAGAAGTTTCTCCCCACTGCTACCTCAGGGGAGGAAAGCCCTGAGCTAAGGGTTACATTTACAGGGCCTGGGTTTGCTCCCAGGACTCCCTCTCACCCTCTTCCCTTCATTCCATGTTCCCATCCCTGTTACTCCTCTCACTCATCCACTTATACCTCTTCAGCTCTGTCATTATCATCCTGGGTGATTTGAGCATCTCACTGAGCAGAAATTTAGTTTCTCCATTTGTAAAATGGGAGCAATCCTAACTACCCTGTTTCCCTCACTGGGCTGATGACAGGACAAAAAAATGAGATCATGAAGATGAGAGGCTTTTAGGGGTCATACTGAGCTTGGAGCCTTGGGGATGATTCTTACAGGTTCCTGGGACCCCCATGAACTTCCCAAGCAGAGGTTCTACGAGAGCTAGACAGAACTTTGCTGCTTAGAGCTGAGCTCAGCCTCTCTTTCCTCCAGGGTGGTGGAAGACGCCAGTGAAGTGGAAGTGTCTGACTCAAGAGCTGCCTCAGAGCTGTACTTGCAGGCCACAACGGGTGAAGGCAGGTGAGGGCAACAGGGTACCTGACACCCGCCCTCCCCACCCCCCGCTCTTAGGCATTTGGCCTGATCCCACCCTTACCCTCTCCTCCACAGAACCTGTTCTCTGCTTACTGTCACCATGTCCCACCCAGGGCCTGAGCCTCCTGAGGGGACTGGAACCCAGAGTGTATGGCGAGGAGCCTTGAGGATCCTGCAGCTCCCAGGAGCCCTGTAAGTCTGACAGAGAGCCTTCTGACTGGTGGTGAGCAGGGACGGGGTGGGGTGTGGTAGGGGGTGGTAGTAAATGAAACATGGATGCTGAAGGCAGCATCCGAGTCTCCTCCTTTCCTTATTTCTGACAGACAGAAGGACTCGCTTTAGCATTTCTTGTAAAGCAGGTTTACTAGCATTGAATTCCTCTAGCTTTTGCTTATCCAGGAATATCTTAATTTTTACATTTTTGAAGAACAGTTTTGCCAGGTACAGAATTCCTAGTTGACAGATTTTTTTCTTGCAGCACTTTAACTATGTCACCTCACTGCCTTCTGGCCTTCACAGTTTTTGATGAGAAATTTGTTTTTAATCTTATTGAGGATTCCTTGTACATAAGAAGTTGTTTTTCTCTTGTTGTTTTCAAGGCTCTCTCTGACTGTGGCTTTTGACAGTTTGATTATAAAGTATCTTGGTGTGGATCTCTTAGAGTTTATCTTCCTTGGAACTTTTTTGAGCTTCTTGGCTGTATAGATTCACCATCTTTCATAAAATTGGGGAAATTTTTAAGCATTATTTTTTCAGTCTTTTTGCCCCTTTCTTTCTCCCTCTTCTATCCCTCGGCTCCCATCATGCATATATTTGTACACTTGGTGGCATCACACAGTTCTCTTAGGCTCATTTTCCTTCATTCTTTTTACTTTCTGCCCCTCAGATTGGATTTTATTTGAACTATTTTTAAGTTCCACAAGATTCTTTCTTGTGCCTGCTCAAATCTGCCCTCTAGTGGATTTTTGATTTCCGTTATACTTTTCAGCTCTAGATTTTCTTCTTGGTTCCTTTTCATAATTTCTATCCTTCTACTGATATTCTCAATTCATTGAGACATCATTTCCTTGATTTCCTTTAGTTTCCCGAACATATTTAAGATAGCTGAATTAAAGTCTTTGTCTAGTGAATCCAATGTCTGTGTTTCCTCAGGGACAGTTTCTATTAATTTCATGGTTTTTTCCTATGAATGTGAGCCATAGTTTTTTATTTAAATTCCTCATATTTTTTGGTTGGAAACTGGCCAATTTGAGTATTTTTATAAAGACCATATTTTTCATTGTGTCGGTCTCTTAAGTCTCCATCCTTTTCCTTAGTGCTCTGACATTTTGGATATGATGATGTGGTAACTCTGAAAACCAGATTCTCCCTTCTCAGGGTTTGCATTATTGCTTGTTGTGGGCTGGAGCCATCTGTTTGCTCAGTTACTTTTCCTAACAATTTTTGCAAAGATTGTATTCTTTGTGGTCACTGAAGTCTCCATTCTAGTATCTCAATGGTTAGCCAGTGACCTGATATCGAATTCCTTTAACTCCTGGGACCAAAAAATAAATAAATAAAAACAAATAAACAAACAAACAAATAAATAAAAAAGAAGGAAGAAAGAGAGAAAGAAAAGGGAAGAAGAAAAAGGAGAATGTGGAAGAGGGAGAGGAGGGCGGGAAGGAGAAGGAAAAGAAACAAAATTCTCCAGGTCTCTACAGACTGGCTCTGTATTGAGTCACTCCAATGCTTAGCCAGGCCATTTATAGCTCTGCCTTAGCCTCACTTCCTGCCATTAGTCTCACTTCCTGCCATTAGTGAGCCTAAAAATCAGCTGGAGATGAAAACTTATGGTCTTTTCAGGTCTTATATGAGTGCGCATCCTGCCCTGGGCACATGTGTGGATTTCTAGGTTCTCCAGGACATGTGGGAACTTTTCAAAGTCCTTATTCCCTCCAAATCTCACTTCCCAGTTTTTCCTCTGAGTCTTTCTATTGTTTGCTCCAACTGTTATTTTTGCTTGTTCTTTCATCTTTCAATGTTTTGGAGGTTTTATGTTTTGAAGACAATGTTTTCAATGTTTTATGTCCTGTGGCATAGCTGCTCTGCCCTGAAAGAGTTCCAAAATAAGTGGAACAAAGGGAAGCCCTTTTGTTGGTCCTTTAGGGGAAAACTTAGCCAGTCAAAAAGAGACAAACACAATTCCTTGGGAACAAGATCTGCTCTGTTCCCTCCAGAACCAGGTACTCTGCCCACTACCCCGCAAATGTGGGCTGTTTTCTACAAAACCATCTCTGTGCTGGGGAGGAGACTGGGGCTAGGGTAAGTTAAAACATCATAAAGATCTCTTGCTATATTTAAGAAAATATCTTTCTCTTGGTTAAGCATTTACTTTGTTGCTATAAACCTTTGACTATCTCCCAGTATTCTAGTAAGGTTGATTCTGGCCATTTTTGCCAGATGTTTCTGGGGAAGAACAGACCACAAGAGTTCGCTATTCCAACATTTTTGTTGATGTCACCTTGCTTTGCCGTTTTCAAATTGGGTTAGTTATCTTTTCTTATTGAATTGTAAGAGCTCTTTATATATTGTGGATACAAGTCCATTTTTTTACTATGAGAATACAATATTTGTGTAATTAAAAAATAATAATAAAATAAAGATCTACACAAATTGTCCAGTGGTGCACAAATGTTACTGGAAATAGTCAACCTTTCTGTCAGAGTGTGATTTGGGCCGATTTCTTTCCTCATCCATCGATGGACATCTTTATTCCTCCCTCTGGCAGAGACTGTCCCCTGCTGCAGGTGTTGGCTGGTAAGGTAGCTGGTGCGGAAGTGGAGGGCTCTCTACCCTGGATTGTCTCATGGCTCCTGGAAGGAAATAACTATAGTGGCCTTCTTCTTCGCCTGGACCCTCAAGGTAGCCTGGGGAAGGTGTGGGGTTCTTTGGGAAGCTCTGGGATCTGGTCTTGGTTCTGCCCCACCCTCTCAACCAACCAATCAAAGCCTCAACTCCAGACCAGAGAGAACCTGACTCTCTAGGAGGACCAGGATTCAGAAAGGTCCAGGGGTGACTAGTCTGCAGAAGCCTGGAGCAACGACTCACCTTTCAGAGAACTTCAACAATTTACCAAGTATTTTTACAGACTAATACCTTTGATTCTTACTATGACCCCATGAGGCAGATATAATTTACAGATGAAGAAAGGGAAGATCAGAGAAGGAAAGGCACTTGCCTATAGTCACACACCCATTAAAATCAGGCTTCTGTGAAATGATATGATGTCAAGGATTTGGCAGAGGTCAAGTGGAGGGTATAGATCAAACAAGAATGGCCATCAGTTGATAATTGCTGAAGTTGGATGATAAGTAGATGGATTATCTATACTTTGCATATGATTGAAAATGTCCATAATAAAAAAGTTAAAAATGAAAACAAAAACAAACTTTGGCCCTCTGTCTCCAAAATCAACAAACACACATTCATTTGGCCACCACAGTCCTAGACCTCCCTCTGTGCAAGGCCCCATGGATCATGGAAAACAGGTTGGAGCAGTTCACACTCTCAAAGATAAAGCAATGAGACCTGACTCATGTTTACAGGCCAGTTTGGTATCATGATTAAGGCACAGGCTTTAGTGTCAGACAGACATGGGCTTGAGTTTCAGTTCTGCTGCTCACCAGGAAGTTGCCTGACCTCTCTGAGCTTCAGTTGCCTCATCTGGAAACTGTAGGGAGAGACAGGATAAAAACTTTTTAGAATTGTTGCCTCACTAGAGTGTTGTGTGGAAAAAAAGAGACAATCCATGAAAAGCCTTAGTACAGTGCCATCAAGCACATGTAAAGGCTGATGGGTGTTAGCTGTTTTTACTATTAATAAAAAATTACAAATACTATAGGCAGTATGCTTTGGAGTCCAGAGGAAGGAGTGATTCATTCTGAGTCTCCCCTCACTAGGCAGCAATCTGAGCTTGCTCCAGGCTGCTCTCATGGGGGCTGCTGGAAGGAGGATACAGGTGAAGCAGGTGAGTCCCACTCTATGGGATGCAGCAGAAGAGGTTCGAGCCCGCCGAGCCGGCCTGAAGAGCCTGCGTTCAGGCCTCCTAGGGGACTCCTTGACAGAAAGTGGGGTCAACCAGCTGGGCAGGGCATTGCGGGAGTTGCAGGTAAGCAGTGAGGCCTGGAGGAGTCTGGGCCAGCAGTGGCTGGAATCCACCTTAAACCCTCTCTCCACAGTTGGTAAAAGCCTGGAGCCAGCGCTCAGGAAGCCGGATGCTCAAAGGGGTCAAAGCTGAGGCCATGGGGCTCCCAGAACCACAGGTATGTCTTCTTATCCAACCTCTTGGGGGCCGCTCTGATGTCGCCCTTCCTTTCCTCTGTTTAAGCACTATGAGGGGAGCCTTCCTTCATTAACTGATTCCCAAACATTTATTGACCACTCACTATGTGCTGGGCACAGTGCCATGTAGGCTCAAGGAAATCTCTGTCCTCATAACATCATATCAGTGTTCTAAAGGGCTTATCAACACGGGGTTCTATGTGGCACATAAGTTAGTCTTGGCAGGGGAGGGAAGACTTCAGGGAGGAAGTTGATTCTTGGAGGATATGGCCAGCAATGAGTGAAGAATATGCTAGGCGGAGAAAATAACAAGGAGTTTCAGAAGTGAGTGCTCGATTTCTTTGGGGAACTGTGAGCAGCTCAATTTGTTGGAGAATAGAGTTTGAGGAAGAGAGAAGAGGATTGGTCATGCAGGGCTTTGTAAATCTATTGAGATGTTTGTACCTTATCTTGAAAGTCAAGGGGAAGTCACAGAACTGTTTTAAGCAGGGAGGACAACATTGCTCCCCTTATTCAGGTGAGCGAACAGAGGCTCAGAGAAGGGAAGTGAGTATCCCATGGTCACTAGGATAATCAAAGGCAGCACAGGTGTAAATGTCGAAGTCCTTAGACTCAATGTGGTGCTCTTTCATCCCCTTAGGATGCATGGCCGCTCCTGTGTAGAAGGGAGAGCTGTCTTCCAGGATTTCCACAGGGTGGCTGGATGCTATCCCACCCAGTCTTTCCTGGTTTTCCCCTTTTCATAACTACTTACAACTTGTTTTTACAGCCTTGGGCCTTGGGAATTAGGCATGCAAGCTCCTAATGCTCTTTATCCCATTTCATAGTATCTACAACTTTTATCAGCTTTTTATGGATGAGGAAATGGAGACTCAAAATACTAGTCACTTTCCTGAGTCATACAGCTAAGAAAAGGAGGGGCTGGGCCCCTGACCTGTCTGATTTCAAAGCCCTGAGCTTAACCCATGCTGTTGTTAAAGAGGAAGGTTGTGGAATTCCCACTCCTGATATCTTCTCAGCAGGTGACAAATTCAGCAGCCAGCCACAGCTCAGGTCTCCCAGGGGAGCCCCAAGGTGGGTCTGGGGCTTGGGGGTGGAGTTGGGGGTCTTCTCCACCTTTGATGTGCTTAATTGCATTTTCCTATGGTGACAGGAAGAACAGCATCTCTGAGATCTGGGTCCCACCAAGAGCATCTTCTCAGGGACTCTGAGGAACAGGTACCCTCATGTACCCCAGAACAACTGGAAGCTGTAGGGGGAGTAAAGAGTTACAGAGGTGCAGAGCCCAGTTAATATGTCTCAGGCTTACCTTGCTCCAACATCAAGGAGAAATATGGAGCTTCTGGCAAATAAAGAACCTGAAGGTCTACTGGATCCCTAAGGGAGGGACATGGGATGGAACTGTTTTCCTACTGGGCTGGATTTCCTACGTGATCTGTAAGCCTCCATGGCATCTCTTGGCAGAGCCAATACTTCTCTCCCCACATGGCCTCCGAGTTTCTGTCCAGACTACATGCTCTTCCAGTCTAGTTAGGTCCTAGATGTAGTTGTGGGAACAGCCCTGGTAAAGGGATTCTGTTGGAAATGCTGGGCCCTGCATCCCAATGCTTTGTGTCTACATGGGCTTCTGGCTGAGCCTGGACTGATGCCACCAAGGCCCAACAGGCTCCAGATGTGGCCCTACAGTTCTTCCTGGCCCAGGCCCGGAGGCAGAGACTGAAAGAACAGCAGCAAATTAGGATCCAAGAGGAACTGAAACATTTGGAACAAGAGGAGGAGGAAGAAGAGGAGGAAGCAGGAGACCAGGTCAAAGGCCTGATGGCTGGAGAAGAGGTGAGGAGAGTTATGTAGGGTACTTGAGTTCTTTCTAGTCAGGCCAGGCACCATGCTGGGGGCTGGGATCCAGTGTCAGTCACAACAGACTGGGCCATACCTTTTTTCCTGACCCTCACAGCTTTGTGGGGTAGAGATGAGGCAATTCTCAGTGCTAAGTGCTGTGACAGGGGGAGGTAGGGACTTGTAGGAACAAAGAGGTGTACCTGACCCAGGAGTGGGTCAGAGAAGATGACATCCGAGCTGAGACTTGACAAACAAGTCAGCCAGAGGGATGGACCAGACAAGGGCAGTTCATGCTCATCCCATGGAGGCACTCCGTAAATATAATTTGTTTGAACAAATTAAAAAACAAAACTTATATGCATGGGGTGTGGGGTGGGGTGGGGTGGAAAAACACATGTTCTGAGAGAGGACAATACTGCCTGAGCAAAGGTCCAGAGAGAAGCAATGGCAAAATGAGTTCTGGGTATTGCAACCTGTCAGTCTGGCTGAGGTCTGGCAGGTGCATGGTCAGAGGCAAGGCTAACGAGATCAGTATGTGCCATGCCTCTGGATTTGGACTTTACCCCAAGGATGATGATGAACTGTTGAAAGCCATGTCATCTCAGCTCTGTTCCTCACTAGCCATATGAATTCAGGCACGTTACATTACCTCTCTGATCCAGTTCCCAAATCTGTAAAATGGTAACTCATCTTATAGGGTTGACATTGGATAAAATGAGATCATACACATGAAACATATAGAACAGAGGGGGCACACAGGTGGCACTCAACAAAGAGTAAGTGTCCCTTGGTATCCACAGGGGATTAATTCTAGGACCCCCATGGATACCAAAATCCACCGATGCTCAAGTCCCTTACATAGAATGGTGTATTTGTATATAACTGGCACACATCCCCCATGTGCTTTAAATCATTTCTAGATTAGTTATACCTTACACAATGTAAATACTATGTAATAGCTGTTATCCTGTATTGTTTTGGGAATAATGACAAGAAAAAGTTTGTACATGTTCAGTTCAGACACATAACCATCTTGGACTGACCTAACTACATAGTACACGTCAACAACAACGTAACATTAAAAAAATATATATTTTCAAACTGTGGTGGGTTGAATCTGCCAACATGGAACTCGTGGCTACAAAGGGCTGTGTTATCACTTAAGGAGAGACAGAGATGGCACCGGGAACAGATTGTGCTGAGACTCCAGCTGGAAGCTCTTCAGGCAGAGCGGGACACTGCGGAGCAGGACCTCACAGCCCTCTATGACCTGCATGTGAAAGCCACCCGAGCTCAGACATGCCATGTGCTACAGGTCAGTGGGGACAGAAGGCAGGCCTTGGGCTGGTGACAAGGCTGGCTGACTGACAGATGTCTCTGAATCTGGGCACAGGTATTCCAAGCCTGGCGGGGGCTGTGGGAGGAACAGACCATGATCACGGAGCATCACCACCGTAGCCTGCTGGCTGGCGTCCTGCAAGACACCATTGACCTGGCCGCACAGAACCAGGAGCTCCAAGCCCAGAACCAGCAGCTTCGGCAGGGTGTGCATTGGGCTGGATCCCGGTTCTAGGGAGGAATTTGGTGATCAGGATTCCTTCAGGGGCAGTTTCTTCTCTCCTCATTCTTGAGGGTTTTAAAAGGGAGAGGAAGTTGGGATGTAATAACCAAGCTAATCTTCATTATGGATAATTAATACCATCATTAACCAGGTCTCATCGTGCCAGTCCCTAAGTGCCTAATATCTACTATTTCATTTAGCCTTTTCTACTATCTGATATAATTGTAGGTAAAATTGACCCCCATTTCAGAGATAAAGCAACTAAAACTAGGAGAGTTTAAGTTATTGCCAAAGGACAGTCAGCTAGTAAGTGATAGAGCCAGAATTCAAGTGCAAGTCTGGTTGGCTATAGCTCTACACAGCAGACAGTAGTGGTTCACAAGCTGCAGCGTGCCTCAGAATCACCTAGGAAGCTTCTTAAAA